CAAAAAAGTAAAGCAAGAAGTGTATTGCATGCAAATTGCATTTCCATAGCATGCTTGGTGCATTCCCAACCTTTTGTCAAGAGAAAAATAATCAAGACGTCATCCTTGACTAGCAAATGAAACAGGGCACAGATTGCTATCAGATGAGGCAGCTCCTCTGACAGGTACAGGACTAGACTGATCTGACAGACGTGTAAGATTTCTAGTTAGCAGAAACACTTAAGTCATCATTTTCAAGAGAATGGTGACATGAGAAATTACATCACCAAATACCTAATTTGAGTGATAAGTTTTGTGTCTCCTGAGCTTACAGATTTCACCTTCAACTTCAGAAGGCAGCTGATGAGGACTGATAGCTATATCCCACTGGGTTCTAAAGAGATTGCATTGCCAAAAGAAGGAAATTGCCTCTTTTCTGTGATCAGCCTCTGTCAGAGTGGGAAATTCCTGCTACTGGTTCCGAAATCACAGGCAGGGAAAAAACAGGGTTCAGATGTTCAGATGACAGTCCACTTCATACAGACACAGAGTAGTCAGACAAGAAAACTCTCTTGTCCACAGGCTTAGCTGTAACCATTTCCCAAAAGCTCAGGGGAAAGGAGGTGAAAAACGTTCTGGGGAAAGAGCAGGTCTCTCAAATGATTCATTAAGAAGCTTGCTTATACCTTGAAGAGCAGAGATACAACTGGGTGTCACAACTGAACACATTAACAACTCAAAAAACCAGATAACTTTGAGCCACCTGTGTATCACCATGATGGAGGAGGGACTTGCTATTTGACACCATTTTCTGTTCCTGCCTGCCATTTTGGCTTCCCCACTGAGATGAAATAAAAAATATCTCTTAACATCCGTGCTAGTTTTTCAACTTCTTCCAGAGTCATCCCCAGTCACTTCAGTTCCACTGAGATACTATTCTAACCAGCGATGAGGAAAATCCATGCTCTTAGTTACTCTAGCTGGGAAGACTGAAGCACAAGCTTCCTATGCAGATACCACTGGACAGCAAATTTATATGAACAAGTGTGAGAAGTGTATACATAGCCATGGCAGAGTGCACATCACAAGTACTCTGACAAATGAAAGTCTCTGAAATAGAGAGAGCGCTGGTAACGTTGGAATGAATGTTGCAAATAAATCCACTACAGAAACGATCTCTAATTGAATTATTAGTGAAAGAGGAAGAAGGGAATCAGAATATGACTGACTAACATAATAAGAGATAGAGGTTTCCATCAGTCCCTTTCCTATCAAGAAGAATTACCGACCATGTAAGAGAAAATTAAAAAATTCAATTTACAGTAGTTTTCCCCACAGTGAAATCAGAGGCAGGTGCTGGATATAACAGACAATACTGGTCAAACTGTTTCTTTCTGCACAGCACTCAGTAAACAGAGTCGCCACTATTGAGTTCTAACCTCTTGTCATGCAGCAACATTGAGTCAACAATCCGCTCTCATGGCTTAATGCTTTTGATGTTTACTTTGTTCTTTCTATAGTTCAAAAGAAAGCACTAATGCACCAGTCCTCTTACCAAATACAATCTTAATCCCAGAATCCCGAGCCTTTTGCTGTTGGCCAGTTAAGTCTGTTAAGACGAAAGGATTTGATCAAGCTTTACATAACAACACAGAAGTTAAATCCAGCAAAGAGAGCTCTTTTTATCTGTACTGCTCAGACGGCTAAGAGATGAAAAAAAGAGAGGGAGAAAAAAAAGGTAATGAACTTGGCTATGTAAAACAAAATAAGGAATTCAATTATTTTTCTTATTGCCACTTTGTCTTTTCAGTGAGTCTTCTAAAGAACTTGAATTTATTCTCCAATAAGGTCTCCAAGTGTGAAGGCTATAGCTTTCCCTTCACCCAGGAGAACTGTGGCACCTGCTGTGCTTTTTTTTGCAAATCTGCAAAATGTTTCTTTTTCATCAGCAGTTTTCCTGATTTAAAAAATAAATAATTTAAAAATACATATGAAGTAAGCATTGTAGGTCAAAACACTATAAGAAGAGGAAAATGATTTTGTACTTGGGAAACAGATGGACAGCTTAGAGGAAAGGTGGGACATCAATCATTTCGAGTAATTAATACTATATAATACTTCTAGTGTGAAATCTTCATTTTTTTTCCCCTTAAACTAATCGTCCCCATCAAATTTTTATTTTTTTCCCCTTAAACTAATTGTCCCCATCCCTACTGTGTATTTATAAAGGCAGAACACAGTGCAGTGATGATATGTGGTAGAGCTGGGATCAAGACTTTGTTTTTCCACTCGTGTCCTTTGTGAGAGTTGCCCAATTAACCATTTCTCAGCGTGTCACATCTCCCTGTCTCTGAAGCTAGTTACCAAATCTTTTGGATTACATGAATACATAGATACAAAACATGTTGCACCTGTACATATGTAAAGATTGTGATGTCAGCTACTTCATAAGAAATGAGGTGCATCAGAAGTAAAAATGCAAAACTGCTCTTGCTGGTATTAAGCTGGAAAGCCTAAAAATAAATCTAATAAAAACAGTCCTGTTGCTGACTAGTTTAAAAATATTGTTTATTGTATATTCTGACTGCTAAGCAAGACAGTTCTTTGCAACAACTAAGAAATAATTAGAGGTAAGCAAAAGAAAGAATAAGACAGAAAAAAATCAAGTTATTCACCTTGTTGGCACTTAATATCCTGTATCAAGTAACTGCTACTATAATTCTGAAAATTAGTAAGCCACCCTTTACTACAGTTACATCCTACTACAAGCAGAAGAGAAAACTGTAATGATGCTAATAATGAAACATTTTGTTGTGGTTTAACCCAGCAGGTGGATCAGCACCACACAGTCATTTGCTCACTCCCCCCCTTCCCAGTGGGATGAAGGAGAAAATAAATAAAAAATCCAAACAAGTAGAACTCCTGGGTTGAGATAAAACTACTTGCTAAGACAGATAAAGGGAAAAGAAAACAGTTACGACTATATATATATATATACATACATATGCATGTATATAAGAAGTGATGCAGAAGCAATTGCTCACCACCCCCAACCAATGTCCAGCTAGTTCCCCAAGAAGCAGAAGATAGACATTCGTAACATGGACAATCTTTCAAAATCTATTTCAGCGTCCTGCCTGCACCTCCATTTTCTTGTTTCTCCACATTCTGAAGTCACAGACGTGTTTTATCTGGTGTGCACAACATATCCTAAATACATACAAACACTTAATGATCTTAGCTGCAATGTAGATGATGCAGACACAATGCCTTATTCCACTGAAACCTATTTTTCTGTTCAACGTGAAAAATTACTTTTGCAATGGCTGGTGATCAAAATGAGTTTCCTTCTGGCAGCTCTTTAGGCTTTTTCAGCTCAGTCTCAGCAGCCCCCAAAGAATGACATTACACCACTATTACCTTAAAAGCACTGCCATTTTGCGTCCTTTTTTGATCACAGATAAGAGCAATGTTTTTTGATCACTGGTAAGCAATTTAGAGCAATTGCTTAAGATCTCTTTGCTATGAATCAATCAGTAGTCTCTGGAAGGAACATGATAGCAGAATATTATGGAGAAGGATGCTCCAAAAACCACTCACTTATAGTCAGAGAAGGAAGCAAAAGGCAACTAATGACACAAGCTGATTACTCAAAGGAAATATAGGGAAGATGTCACTAACTTAGTACATAATAAAAATAGTAGTAACAATGAATATGAATATCTTTTGACATGAAAGAAGTGTTTTTGGTATCTGCAGTTTCACCAATAGAAACAATCCCACTTATGTTGTAGAAGCAGGGTACGACTACTAGGCTATCAAAAATACATAATCTCTGTTGTGATTTGAGCTTAAATTTACAACTTGATTCTGGCAATTGGATTTTCCTGCTACGCAAAAGAGAGAGGATCCAACCTAACATCCATACTTTGTAAGCATATTCAGTGCAGCAAATTCTTCCTCAGTTATGAACAATCTGATGCTGCTAAAGAATACGCAGCACATAATTACACACAAAGTATCCCTGACCTAAGCGCCACCTCCGTCCTCCTTTTATTTAGAGTAATTTATGATCTTAACAATTTAAAATTCAAATCAAAATAAAACAATTTTGTTACAACCCCAGTCATCTTTTCAACAGAAGTGTCGACCACTGGGAGCAAACAACTTGATTACAAAAGGAGTGCACTTTCCAAGTAAAGCTTGACATAGTTTGCTGCTCCAAATGAGTTAGGCAAATTGTTTCCACTAACCTATAGTAAAAATCTAGCACACAGCCTGTGCAACTACTTGTTATGCTAGAGAGAGTAACTCAATTTCTGTCAACTCATTTTGTTGTTTGTTGGGAAGAATGATTAACAATGTCATCAAGCTAATCTCATCCATTCATCAATCCCCAGCTGTCTAACAGAAGCTCAACTGGTGTGCTCAGCAATGTGTTCTGACCTTACTGAAGGCCCTGCCCACTCAAACAGTGATTCTATCCCATTGTGAGGAGAGGCCTAGTCACAGTGGAATAGATGAGATGAGACTTGGAAACAAGAAATTATCTGAAGCAGTGATGACTCCATTCATATTCAAGAGAAGCGTATTGTGTAAGAGTTTCTGATCTTTTATAAATTAATGCAATAGTTTCCAAACTTGGCTTATGCACCACAGAAGGGGGAGCAGCATAGCACAAAACTAAATGCAAACATTTCCAGTGATCACATTCACCACTTCTGCTGGATACAGTAATATTTACCACTGCTATGCTTCCAATGGAAGTACTGGACAAAAATGTTGAGCTCCTTAGCGAATATATTTGGTCTCTATTATATAACCGGTTGACTTTTTTGATAACAGGAGCACAGTGATATGAAATACAGAAATAATACCTTACTCCCATCACGTCAGTTTTGCCCAGAAAATGAAACATATTAAGAGCTGCACTGTTATACATGCATTCCTATACTGGACATGTTCGTTGACTTATTCCAATATCCCTTAATATTAACCACAAAGTTTTGTTCTTTAAATACCTTCTAGATGAAAGTGCTCATCACCAATAGAGTCTCTGTAGCCTTCTCCAGACAAATCCTGTTAAAAAAAAGAGAAGAAAAATTAATGAAGAGTATATGACATAAAAGGTATCAAGAAGATACACTAGGATTAATTAAAAACACTAAATGCATTAATTAATGCATTAATGAGCATTAATGTCAATTTCCAGAAAAGAAGTCAATGTATCTGGTGCTATTTTAGAATGTTCTGGGCATATTCTAAGACAAAAATTGAATGCAGATAAACAGATTATGTTCCTATACAAGTCCTTTTACAGAATACTTTAATACTTAGCATTTCAACATTCTGTCAATCAAGCAAGATAAAAAACAACCCTGAATGGAAATGATAAAGGAGAAATAAGCCCTTCACTACCCACAGAGGAATGTTATCACTTGGTTCCACCAACAGAAAACTTTCATGTGCCAGAGATCACCCAAGAAAAGCAGATACCAGAGTCTGAAGAGCTGCCTGATACTTCTGTCCTGAAATTAATGAAATTTTGTCAGCCCCAGTATATCTAGTGGAACACAGAAGCAGCGGTCACGGATACTCAGATGATTTTATCTCAAACACAAAAAACAGTTCTCTAATGGTGCTGAAGTTGTAATAAAAGGGCATCAGTTGGATTTGGAGCTAATCCCACTTATAAAGATCCTGAAGAGCATTCTTACGCTCCTATTAGCAGATCATTCCAGCTCCATCTCTCCACACCAGCTAAGCCGTAAGCTATCACAGCTAGCCTTCTATTTTGCCTTCTTCCATTCATTCCAAACACTCCAAGCATTACCATAACGTCACTGATCTTACATTACAGGCCGTCTCCTTAGATTTTCTACAAACACTCTGTGCCACTGATAAATATTTATGGTGATGAACAAGGATATGGCCTTGAAAAGTTCAAGTGCTGCACTCACAGCTATTTCAACTTCACCTACAAAAACGTATCAGGAACACAGAGCCAGCATTCTCAGCATTAACCTGGGGACTGTGAACAGACACTAGGGAGCTTTTGGCACAAGGCGAGAAGAAGAGAAAAAACTGTGAAAATGAATGCCTGGCTGTGTTCATAGCTTTATCACGATGAACGCAGTTCATCTCTTTTTCCCAAGAAGCTGACAGAGGTTCTTTTCTAACTTGCACATGCCTAAATGTTATTCTTTGAGATTAGTTATCCAAAAGTAACTCAGCCACAAAAGCATGTCTTAGGAACTCTTCAGCGTCAGTTGAAGCATTTTAAAAATCAAATTCCATAAACAGTGAGATTTGATTGGGGGTTAGCTAGCGCAGAAACCCTGAAAATATTTCTCTCTTCACGAGCAGATACGCTGACATTTGACCCAAAGATAAATTTGACAGCATTAGGAAATGCTGTCAACCTGGTACAGCATGCTGGGATTTAGCATAGCATGACACTGCTACAACAACTGTCAGAAGCAAATCACAAAAGCTAGTTTGTTTATTTGAGTTTTTCTTCTAGAAGAAAAGGCCCCTTATGAACAAGTGCTAATTAATATCTATCACTGATTTAAAAATAATGGAAGAAATGGACATAATGAACAAAAAGAGCCAGGAAATGTTGGTGTAGCACATCATGTTTCTGCAAGGAAGATGGTCTTTCCAGAAACTTGCAATAGTTATTACACTTTTGTTTAGTAAAATTCCTCCATGTCATCATTTTCCAGGAAGCTCTCAGAGCACAGCCTGATTGCTCTCCCAGACAATGAGATACATACAAGTGACTGCGGGAGCACACATGGCCCTCCTGCTCTGTCCCACAATGGCAAGTATTTAATAACTGCTTTTTTATTGAAGACAGAATTCCTGCTCCCTCCTGGTTCTCTTGGGAAAATATTTCTGATTTTCTGATCAGCAACTATGCAACGAGAAGGTATGACCTTAATGGTGATGCTTCTCTAAGGAGAAAGCTATTTGGTAGTCATCTTCTTTTAATGTTTTAACAAAGCAAACGGTGCATGTGGTTATCAAATGTTGCCTGCCGAAATGCTGTCATTAATTCGACCTCTACAAAAATCACAAGTCATTACTTTTTATGATTTTTTCAAAAGATGCCACTTACAAATTAGCATGCATTTGTTGAAGGAAAAGGTCCCATCAAGTAACTAGTGCAGAAGAGTGGAGATGAAGGAGAGAAGCAGTAAAGCATTAATATTCTACATGCAAGCTTCCTTAGTTTCTCATTACATGGTTAATCATTACAGTATGTTTCATATTCTAGGCTAGTTTCACTCGTTCTCTAGCTCCTAGTTATTTAAGTCAAAGAGTAGTAACTTAATGCAAGCAAATTTCCAAAAAAATAGCTTCCCTTAAATCAAATTATTATAAATCACCGAATTCTAGTGTTTTGATGATGATGTTGAACCACAGCAATACTGTTAAACAGCACAGACACAGACAACCCATCCCAAAATCAATGAGTGTATCATTTGAACGTTTTGGTGACTTATTTCATAGAAACGTAGAATGGACTGGGTTGGAAGAGACCTCAAGGATCATCAAATTCCAAACCCTTGCAACAGGTAGGGCTGTATTTAAGCAGAATTCCTCAACTCCCACTCACATGTGTTCTGTGAGAGTACGATTGTGATCTGTGCTGCCTTTAATAAGCAGGTGAGAAAGGTGTGGGCAACTCTTACAATTCTACAGGACGGGAAAATTAAAAGAAAGAAAGAAACCTTATCACTCATCTTATTACCACTAACTCTTCTTTCGACAAGCCCAGAAGAACAACCAGGATGTCTTTAGCACTACTGAGACACGTGTCACAGACTGATAAACACCAAAGCAAACCTGCTTGAGAAAAGGATTCTGGGTGGTTTATGTAAACTCACATTCAAAAATAAAGTACAAAAGCTAAGCTAGTATCAGAGAAAACAATTCTGACTGCAGCTGGTACTGTAGAAGTATTCTCCCAGTAACCTGCAACAATTCCATTAATGTGAATAAAACAGTGCATCTACCACTAGTCTAATCCAGAAAGTGAAGGGGAACAATAGGACAGGGTAAATGTGTAAAACAACTCACAGCTCAATAAATTCTAGTGGGAAGAGAACATTATACCTCCAGGAAGAAGCGTGGCTGAGCACAGGGGAAATGCAGGAGTGACAGGACAAAGCCACCTGTGCCAGCCCTGCCTCCTGCAGCCATGCCCAAGGGCTCCCCACAAGGTGCAGAGCTGCGGGAGCCATCCCATGGCAGGAGCGGTGCTGGGGAGAGCAAGGCAACGGCATCTGGGTCATAGGTAGCTGTACGTCACTGTCCTGACACCATGTTTTAAATCACAACGCTGCATTTTCAAACTGGAACACTGAGTCATGTAGCAACCAAAACCAGATGTACCCTGTGAAATACTATATAAGTGAGGTCAGCGAGAACTTGAAAGAAGAAAGAGAAAAAACATTTACGTAGGATTATTCCAGCATGCCACTTCTAGAGGCTGCTAAACAGGAACCCACTGAGAGTAAGCGTCTCTACCTCACCAGGAGCTTCTCTGCTAAAGAAGTTGGCCTCCGCTAGCTACCAGTACAAATCACACAAAACGACTGAAATTCAGTTCTAACATCTGTTTCAAAGCTATGCAGGCAGCTGCCCGGCCCGGATGAAAAGGTCCTCATGTCCCACATGTCCTGATCTGATCGGTGCTGCTGTGCAGGGCTCAGATTGAAGAGGGTGGGGAAGCGTTAACTAGTGCAACTCCCTCAGAAATGCTGAGCAGCATATTTGTACCCAAGGAATACAAACACTCATGGGAAGCTCCCACATCCCAGTGCTCCCACTCAGCCGGTTACAAGTCAGGCAGTTGTCATTCACATCCTACCTTTACTGAGCAATCAGATTCAATGAATTCTGACTCACTGGGAATTTTATCTTTTTAATCCTATCCTCAGCCCTGACCACCCCACACAGCATTTTCATCAACATGTGTTTCTGGAGACTGAAGGCCAGAAATTCACTCTGGTGCATTAACATTTGACATCCTTCTCCTGAGCTCCCTAAAAAGGCTGCCAGCCAAAGCCTCACCCACCATTCTGCTCATAATACTGTATTCTTTCCTTGCCTTTGCTCCCTTTCTGTTTCATGCTGAGATCAGGTTCCCTGTCTTCACCTTCCAGGCTCTGCATGGCTGTACTTGCATTCACATCTACCAGCCCCCATGCCCACTGATTCCTTTAATCTTCATCACCACCTGACTCTTCCTGCTTGTCCTGGCTCTGTCTTTCCTTGCTGCTTTCTGCAATACCCAACACCAAGAATACAAGGGCCAAAGCGACAGAGTGAAAATAGAGTGTGTGTTTTAGCAAACACATTTGGACTAACACAGTGATTAACAGTTACACTTTTAGTGTAACTAGGTAGAGCTTCATCCATAGATTTATCAGATATACTAAAGGCTAACCCTTAATTTGGGTGGGTTATTGTGACAGCCAGCACATTTCTGAAGTTTGCAACTCCCTACTTCCTGAATTACATCACAGTTAATATTGTGTTAATTCGTATTTTTCAAAAAGCTGTCGCTTTTCTCCAGTATAAAAATGTTGCTCTACCTCTCCTTCTTCAAACATCTCACTGAAATCCTTTGATTTAGCCTAAGATAAGCAATTTTCAACATTTTTGGCAAGAAATATGCACACATTTCCTATTTTAGTGAAATTCTTATCAAAGTGTCATACTCACCACTTTCCCCAAGTAAAACACGTATAAAGACAAGTTGTCCAGCCAGAAAACTTTACTCCCTACTTTTGCCTATCTGAAGGAAACATGTATTGTGTCCCTTCTTTAATCTTTTACTGATGCAATAAAATCCCAGGACGTTTTGGGAGAGCAAAGTTGAAGAAAGATGTTTCACAACAAGGCTGCAAGGGATAAGATATGTGGTAACTCTTGCTGGAGTAGATTTTAGAGCAGTTTTAAAGGAGCTGCCAATGAGAACGTTATGTCACCTAATATAAACTTCAATTCCTGATAGAAAAATGATCCTGAGAAACAGAGGTCCAAGCAAACAAGGATGGCCTTTG